TTTGAGTTAAATCGGATCGTCTGTCTCTATCCTTCTCTCTCTCCCTCTCTCAGCCCAGGCTAGGCTCCTACTCTCGCACGGGGTGTTTTTAGCTGAGGAGCTTGCGGGTGGCGGCCTTGGCGAGGCCCTGGCCGCGGACAGGGCATGGCACGGCGAGGGTGGGGCAGGCCTGCCCCCGCCCAGTCGGGCTTGTTTTGTAGTGAGCGAATCTTCTATTCCGAACGACTCGATTTCACGCCACTTCTCGGAAGGAGGTGTTGTGCTGTGCTGTCCTGCTCCGCCCCCTCTTTCCTTCCTCCCCCGCCGGGCCGGACACCTATAAACTGTGTGGGGGCAACAAGGCGGCATCGGTCGCCAAGTGCAGCCGAGCATCGCCGCCCAGCCTCAGCCCGCTCGCCGCACCCCTGCCCCAAACGCCCCCTCTGCCAAGCACAGTCACCTCCCCGGCGACAAACACGAGAGACTAGCCCGGGCTGGGTCTCGATGATGTGGGCCTCCCACACATCGCACATGTCATCCGGGACGAGGAGTCCTCGGCTGGAGGGCGGACGCCCTGAAGGTAGGCCACCGGCCGCCCCGCCGCGCACAGCTGTCCGGCGGGGCGGCCTACCCCGGCCTCCGCAGGCGCTCACGTCTTGGACGTGGCGGGGGCGGTCCGGTCCGGGGCCGGAGCACTCGGCGCGCACGGCCAAATACGAGCTGGTGATTCGGATCGGATTGATGGAGCGTGGCGTGGCGCGGCGGGGGAGTATACACGGCGAGGAGGAGGAGGAGGTGAAGGTTGCGCGGGGCCACGGGCTGCCGTGAGCCCCGTCACCCAGTTCCTTTGAAATGGCGTGGCGTGGCGCGGTGCGGCGGCGGCGGGAGGAGGCGACGACCGTTTGCGGCCCGCAAGGACGTCGCGCTCCCGCACCGCACCGCGCCGGCCGCTCCCGGACCATGTCTGGACCATATGGGGGCCGCGGCCACCCGCCCCGCCCGCCCGCCGCGCCCAACAAACTGCAGCGCGCTCTCCTGTGCTGCATTGGAAAAGATGGATGTCACCTCTGCGGATTGTATTGCGTCGATTTTGTGAGCGGGGCGAGCCTTGATGTGCCCTCTTTTGTTTTTGGTATCACCCCGTGTCCGTACGCAGACTAGCTATCGCGAACGTGTTATTTGTTGTTTTTGTCAAACATTTTTCAGATGTTTTGCGATCGTGCAGCGCGCAAGGTGGGGGAGTCAAGACGCTCCATGAGCGGAGGCTGATTTTGCACTCACTTCTGCAATTGGCTCCAGATCGAGGAGGGGAGCAGCCAGCCAGCGGCACCGAATCCGGGGCCCCACGTGGTCGCGTGAGATGCACTGCTTTTCCGTCAGCAGTGGTCTCCTCCTGGTCCAGAGAGAAGGAGGAAAGGGGGGGGGGGCGGCAGCCCACGTCGCCTACCTCATCGCGCAGCCGCAGCTCGCCCGGAATGGCGTAGGCGAAACGCTACGCGCCGCCACGCCACTTCCCGCCCATGCACCTGGGCCTGGCCGGAGCCGCACCTCTCGACTCCTGCACTCCAAAACGACCTCCTCCCCCGTCCACCGCCCACCACGCCCTCTGCTTTCTGCTGCTGCTGTTGCAGTGCGAGGACAAGAAGGTCCCCGAGGAGGAAAGCATCAGGCAGCTCGGCCGCATTGCGTTGACAGCCGAGGAATGCGCTAAGGGACTCGCGGCTCGAGCGGCAACCTCGACATCTCCGTCACCGAACGAGCGTTTTTCTCCCGCCCCCCCTCCCCCTCGCCACTATTGCTCCTCAGCTTGTGTGTGCGCGCACACACACACACACACACACACATTTTCGGCTGAGAAACAAAACGAGAATAGACGTGATTTGCACGACGTTGCTGCTGCTGGGTGCGGCAAGAGGGAAGGGGGCAGAGCGGGCGTTAAAATCCAGAGTAAACAAGGAGAGGACAAACAAGCGCGGGGCGCCGATGCAAATGCCGTCATTCTCTGCCCGGCGAACTCGTCGACGACAGTCCGAGAAGACGCTGTCTTCTCCAAGGTGGTGCGGAGGAATCGAGAATAAGACCGTTCGGCAAAATGAGTTCAAGCGATCATTGTTTATGAGCGAGTTTGAGATCTCAAATCAGATGCACTCCTTCGCCTTCGGCTCCCACTACTGCCACACCCATGCACTCACGCGGAACGGGAAGTAGCGGCTGCGAAACCGGAAATGCGCCATCAGGAACCGACATATAGGTTGGCGCCGCCATAGCACTCCCGTACTATACCAGACCGGAAGTACGCATTCACGCACGCACCGGCGGGGATCATCTCGCGCGCACAGGACGCTATGGGCATGCACTAAACATCCCTTCTACACCATCCCCAGGCCGGGGCCTCTCCCGGCGCCAGGCTCACACGACTACTTCCGAGTGCTGCAGAGACATGTGTGCGTGTGCATGTGTTTGTGTGTGTGCTGCACTTGACCCTGCGGCGCGCGCACGGAGTGTTGGGCCGGCCGCGAGGGGAGAGCGGCGGCGGCGGCCTCTCTGTTGTTAAGGGCCTTGGCAACATCTGCCGAAATAGCGCCGCGGCCTGCTATGCTGTTGCTGAATGGAATGTAAACCCCCTTCAGGGAAGCAGGGGTGGGCGGAGGAGGAGGAGTGTGTGGGAGTGGGGAGCCGAGGGGGAATGCACAGCCACGGCTCGGTATGAATGACGATGTATGGGTGAACAAGGAATGCCTGTTGAGCTGTTTTCGATATGGTTTTTCTCGACATGGTTTGGCAGCCCGGGGACACGCGGGGCACGCAGTAGGGCGGGGACGGGGACCTCGGGCGGCGGCGGCGGTACCTCCTGCTGCTGGCGCTGCCGTCGCCCGGCCGGCCGGCGCCTCTAGGATGCCAACACACACGGGAGAGAGAGAATAACGCCCCGCGGAGGAGTGGCGTGGCGTGGCGCACGGGGCGACGTGTGGGCGTGCCGGGGGCGCGCCCGGGGAGGAGGAGGGAGGAGGGCGGGCTCGGCCGCGCGGCAGAGCGTGGGCAACTTCCGTAGACCACGAGGGACCCGTGCGCCGCGCGCTGCGACCGACACGGCTCGGCTCGGCTGGCTCAAGCTCGGCTCGCGCAGCTGGGCGCAGCCAGCAGCAGCCTCAAGCCTTCCCTCCTCTGCCCACCTGGTGGCCACACCACTGGGTCGCCCGCGACGACGCCAAGGTGAGGAGGACTCATCGCGGTGGCTGCGGAGGCTACGCCCCGCTCTCTGAGAGCGGCGCGGCTGGCGGCGGCGGTGGAGCGCGCCGAGATAGACGCGGGGCTGAGTCACTGAGATGGCTGCGGGGAAGGACCACCCGAGACCACCTCAACGACACGACAATAAGTGTGATCGAATCGGTCGAAGTCAATTCGATAGTATGCGGTATCGTTGATCACTATGTCCTGCCCTCCCTTTAGAGACGGGTGCCGCCGCACTGTTAAAACAATGGTAACGTCCTCCCTTTTTTATGCTGTGCATAGATGTTTTTCGCGAATCAATTTCACTTTGAGGCACGTGATTCTATATCGACCTATGAGGATGCGAATCTGATGAACATCTAATAAAAGTCCAGTCACTTTTAGCTATTGCTGCGTTCAGATGCCAATCAGGGGTGCGACCCTTAAGTTTTACCAGTGTGGTCAGCGAGCGTCCGGGGCACAGAGAATCAGCCTCTCAAGGCCCGGCCCGGCACCGCGCCACCGAACCAGGTATCCGCTCAGTGCTCCTCGTAAAGCGCGTCCGTATGATGGACGGCCGGCGTTAACTCGCGGGTTACGCCTTGGGGCTTTATACTGCCGCGGTCCCATTGTGTCCCCCGGCGGGCCCATACGGCCGGCGAGCAGCGGGGACCGCTTAACGGGGGCGAGATCAGTAGCCTGATGGCGGCGAGATTAGCTTAACGCTTAACGGGGGAGCGGCGGACGAGTGTGACTGACAGGACACGGCCTCGGACACGGCATGGTCATGGCCTCCTCCGGCACCGGCAGCATCCGGCTCGTGTGTTCGCCGACCGGGCTGATCACGGAGCGGCGGACGCGGCTCACCACGCCTACTACCTCCTTACCCCGCTGCTCGCGAGGGTGTGACACAGTCACACTGCAGTCGGACCAGAATAATTGATCGCCGCCAAACGGAACGGTCTTTCCGTCACCATCCCTCATCGAGGGAGGGCGAGCGAGAGTCGGTCCGGTTTGCGTCGAATCCGAAATTAGCGTCGCGCGGCGAGGCCAGTTCAGTTGGGCCGTTCACACACACGTGACTGCTGATCCACTTGGCGCCACATCGGCGTCCTCCTCCCGGTGCCACACGACCACGACGACGCCGTCGCGACAATAAATGACGCCACGTCGAGGCGCTTTCGACAGAATCTCACGTTTCCCGATTTTCAGACTCTTTGGTTGATTATTCTGTCCATCTGGTCGTTTTCTTCCTCTTCCCGCGTTGGTGCAGCACAGTTGTTGGATATAGTGACCGGCCGAGGAAGCTCATTTGTTACCCAATAACCGACAGCACCCACGCAACCTGGCCGATTCCCCTACCCCATTGACAGAACCATGTGGAAAAATAAAACGATTGAACGGTGGTCGTCGCTGTTGCGATGGAAAACTAGGGCATTGTTCGGTATGGAGTTGTCGTTTTGACAAGTAGACACAAGCTAAGCCCCACACGGAGAGAAAAGTTCCGGCCAGACAACAAAACTGAGTTTGCATTGTTCCTTTTACCAGTACACCTAATCAGTTTCGGTGTCACACCGAAACCTTTAGACTCTGCACCAGAACCTTTTGGACTCTGCACCAGAACCTTTTGGACTCTGCACCAGAACCTTTGGTGACCACGCATGTAAAAGTTTGGATAGTACTTTTCTTTCAATTTTGTCCAAACTTTTGGGCGTACGCCTCGAACTTTTCCCTCCGTGCACATGCATCGCCAGAGGTCACCCGTGCATCCCTCAGTCCAACGAGTAGTGCCTCTTGGTGGCCCGGCTTACCTCTTGCGCAGGAGGGAAGGCAAGTGGTTGGGACGAAATGACGGGCAGGTAGTAGTAGTAGTTGTTGTAATATCCAGAGGAAATCCTTGTGCAGAGGAAACAGGTGGCGACCGACTGTCGGCGTGCCGGTGACCCCGGCGCGGCGCGGGGGGAAGGACTGAGGACTGTCGCGCGCACACTGCACACCGTGCTGCACACCCGGCGCGCTCGACCTGAGAGCTGAGCACCACTCTGCACACCGCCGCGGCTCCGCCAACTGACTGACTGGGCGGCGGGCGGGGCCGCGGGGATGGGGGCCGGGCCGGGCCGGGCAGGGCAGGGCACGGGCGCTTGGCGTCGCGAGGCGTCGGCGGACTGGACCACGACGGCGCCGGGGCGTGCCAAGCGCCCCACCCTACCCAACACACACAATGTGCTTTCATAACTCACCAATATCACCTCTAGTCGGTGCGGCGAACGACAGCTCTTTGTGAAACGACAATATCAAAGGGAGAATTACGTAATTTCGAGTACTTACAACACAATCCATAGCAGCCACATATGCTCATCATCGACATACTTGGGGTACACGAACAGGTATGCCAGAAAAAGTGGGCAAAAAACCGCCTGCTCTCATGTTGCCTGCCTAGTAGGCGCTATGCAGGCGCAGATACGTGCCCGTTGCACACGGCTGTGCGCTGGCTATTTTTTGCCTAACTTTCCGGCAACCCTGTACACGAGAGCATTAAAAAAAACTCCGCTGTTTGTAAAGGATTACGCACAACCTTAGGGCTAAAATTTTCCCAGATCATGGAATTTTCTCTTGGAATTCGCCAATTTACCCAATTGCCGGTGCATTCGATTCAAAGTTGTCCAGCAAACTCACTACGTCCCCTTTGTCCCTCCTGCGAGCTGCCACATCCAAGTGCAATCGCGCGAACGACAACGAGCAAAATGCCGGAAACGGATAACGAAGTTAAAACAAACCAACAACGTAGACGCAGCAAAGCACTTCTGTTATGAACTGTAGAAGCCACCAATGTGATTGCCGGAATACTTACTTTTGTGGGGAAAAGAAATTGTATTGAGGTTTGGTAGCAGTTAAGATAACTCGTGATTTATGGGAATATCTTTGTCATCATCAGAATATTTTGTTCAGTTGGTCAACTTGTGTGTCTGCTATTTGACATGAGAAACTGTAGCACATATCAAAATCTTGAAAACACCGTATTTCTTTGTACTATCGGACTTTAATAACAAAAGTATTTTTTATTTTCATCTAAAAAAGATCATGTGAATCAGAAACGAAACTACTTATTTAATACAGAGTAGAATCATTTTAAAAGTGTAATCCAAAAGGTGTTTGCCGAACAATTTT